CTTTCTTTCTTTCTTTCTTTCTTTCTTTCTTTCTTTCTTTCTTTCTTTCTCTCTTTCTTTTTCATACCTACTGAATTATCAAGTCTTCTCCAGAGAAACAGACCAACAGGATGTGTGCACATGGACACTTTTTTGTGCATGCATTTGCACATTCTTAAATGTACACAGAATATACAAATAATGGCCTACATGATTGTGAAGGCTTGCATAGTCTGCAGTCTGTGGGAAGGCCCAGTAGTCTGAAGACTCAGGAAGCAGTTCCACTTCTACCCCATAGACAGTCTGCTAGAGAATTCCTTCCTCAGGGAAATCAACCTTGTTGTTGTTGTTGACATCGTCAATTGATTGCATGTTGTCCTCCATATTGTGAAGGGTAATATGTGTTACCTAAAGTCTACCAATTTAAATGACCATATCACCTCAAATTTCCTCAGAAAGATCCTGATTAATGTTTTACCAAATACTCTGGCTCATACAATGTGACATATGAAATTAACCATCACACTCACACCCACTAAATGCCAGACACAAGTGGACTGAAACCTAGTCTTTATTCTTAAGGAACTCAGCCATTAAGTGTTGGGAGTGAGATGTTCTGATCATATTACAAAGAGAGAGGGAGGTTGGGTGTCACTGTTTTAATACAAAGTAAAGGGCTTAAAGAATTGTTCATTTAAGGCTTAAACTTTATCTAGTTGTGTTCATAAAAAGTAATTCAGAAGTGTGCAGAATGGATTTGAGCTGAGAGGCTGACAGTAGAGAGGGCAATCAGGAGGCAAGGAGAGTTGTTCAGATGAGCATCTGATCAAAGAAACCAGTGTTAGACATAAAGAGAGGAAGGGGCACTCCATGACTATTTTGTGTGTGTGTTTGGTAAGATTCATGTAAGACTTTGTAAGATTTGCATGGTGGATACAGAAGGAAAGAACACCAGCACAACCAGGAGCCAGAGAAGGACTTTGGCGTCCAGGTGGTTGTCTCACAGTGAAGAAAGGTCAGATGAGGAGTGCAGGGCCTTGTGCAGTACTAGGTGCTGGCCCTTTGATGACTTCGTCTTCTGGGAAAGCAGCAGGTATCAGTAGCCACCGAGCCTTTTCTCCAGCCCAGGCTATTCTTGTTTTAATCTCTGCTCTTCATCCTGCTGTTCTTTCCTTCTTAGTTGTTCAGTTTACACTTATTCATCACATCTATAGTCCTTTCTCATTGGATTCTAACTGCTTTCTATATAAAAAGCTATTAGTGGACCATCGGTGTAGTACAGTGGTTAGAATGCTTGCCTAGCTTGGACATAAGGCCTAGGATTCAAAGGTTCAATACCTGGTATTTCACCTAATATGAAACAAAAACAACTGCAAAATAAAAAAAGAAAAGAAAAAAGACAAAAAAAACCCTTAAACTATGATTATTTTCTATCTCTTGACACAGGAGAACTGCCTATCAGGTGCATGACCTCAGACCGCTCTGGTCTGCATTTTTAGAAGGCAGAATGGTAGCAATACCACACTAGATTTTGTGAGGATGAATGAGATTACCTATATTCATACAAAACAATTAGCTCATTACCAAATACATCTTGTTTTAAATGTTAGAATTGTTAGTGGTTAATACTGTTAGACTGCTTTATTGTACAGTCATTTCTGTTTTGCAAAGAATGTCATTATTAGAATTTTGTAGTCAAAGATTTACAGCAGTGATCTCTCGGTGGGAGGTGGCGGGGAGTAAATGTGAAGAAGACAGGAAATTGTGTCCTAAGGGGATAGAAGTGCTAATGGAAGAGTTATGGTATGCTTCGTAGTTCATGGTAAGCTGCAGTTTTGGTAACAGTGTCAAACATGTTTCATGATTCTTAGGTTTTTTTGTTTTACTTTTCTTCTGCCAGTATGTTTCCTTGCCACGTTAAGATATATAGTGAAAGAGACAAAAAATTCCTTAGCTAATTATTTGGTACAATTCTATTTTGGTGATACCCAATAAAAGGTTTTTCCAGAGTGGACACAGTAATATTTCTGTTCTTATTTTGATTTTAGGGTACATGAAGACATTCTTTTACTTTTTGAGTAAAAATTACTGATCATTTTCTATATAACACATATTATATATGGCAGTCTTTCTTGATGCCATGCAAATGTACAAGCTTATGCTTAAAATGGAAGGAACTCAGGGTAGCAAGAGAGGTAGAATAGCCTCATATGTGGAATGGGGACCTGTGCTGTTAACTCTGGTTACTGCAGCCTCACTCTGGGGGAGAGATGGAGAGGATACACTCAAGAGCCATGGGGGAGATTTTTGCTTTTGCTAAATTGGTCAGTCAACATTGTTTCAATACATCTGATTCTATAGATTGTAACAATTGATTTAACCTTTCAGACAGGGGAAAACAAAGGATGGAGTGGTTCAAAGCCTGGGTTTCCTGAACCAACGAATAACAGTAAGTTTCTATTTTTTGTGTGATATGCAATTGGTTGTCATCAGTGGTCATGACTGGTTCTGTCTAGGCCATGGATGCAGTGTTAATTATGGTGGAGGTAATATGGGAATAACAATGTTTGCTGTACTGAAACTAGTGAATAGCTGGAAAATTGAAACATAAACACTTGAATCCTTAAGCCACTACAGTATGAGTAGCATTAATGTACATGAGAATAATACTTTTAAAGTTGTCTTCTTTTATTTAAGTAACATTCCTATAAATAATAAAATACAAGTCTAAAAATCTGTTATCTCTCAGTTTTTTAATAGTCCCAAATTCTTAAGTATAAAACAATTTTTATATAATTATAATACGAACTTTTCTTTTGTGAGCCCAGGCCTTTGTGCATAGTGGACAAGTATTCTGTCACAGTTATAGCCCCAAACCTCTTTTATACTATTTATATATACTTACATACACACACACACAGGCACACATACATGGTATATAATATATAATTATGTCTATATAGTTATATATTGTATTTATACTACCTATAGTATAACTACAAGTTATGCTATTTACATTGTAACATAATTTTTATATTTTGTTGAATGCTTAGAATTTTTAAGGCTATTAAGTGAGTATTAGAAGGTAAATAGAAATTTCATAACTTTGTTCTTCCTGATAGACACTTGAAAATCAACTTACTTAAAATGATTATGACTCAAATACTTTTTCATTGTGCATACATTTATTTTCATTTTATGTGTATGGGGGTTTGCTTGCATATATGTCTGTATACCATGTGTATTCTTGGTGTTCACAGAGGCAAGATGAGGAGTTGTGAGCTACCAAGTGTGTGCTGAGAATCAAACCATGGTTCTCTGGAAGAGCAGCCAGTGCTCTTAGCCACTGAGCCATCTCTCCAGCCCCTAGACACTTTGCTTCTATATTACATGATGAGAATACTGCTCAGAGGAAGAGCGCTTGCCTAGCATGAGCCATGTCCTAGGCTAGATTGCCAACATCTCAAAAACCAAACATCCCTCCCACCTGAAAGGCATCCATTTTTTTCAGTGTAAATCAGTGAATCAAAGCATTGCCAGTCTCATCTCCTTTCTAACCCTCTTTCATTTAAACACTAGCAAAGCCTAAGTCTGCACATTGTCATAATGAAGGAAGGGTTTAGTCTTTACCACTGGCAGTTCACCATTTGATGTAAGTATATGGAAATCAGAAATTATTCTTTTGAAACCATGGTCATAGAATTGAACTCTTGAACCATCAAAAATAACCTCCTTCAAACAATATTGTAGTGAGATGACAGTATCCCTTGCTTACTTTTCTAAGAACAATTTAAGTGAATGGGCAGATAGGTCCTTGGACTGTACATCACAGAGTGATACATGGGCTGAGCATGTAGTCTGGGAGAAGTGGTATCAGTTCAGGATGCTCCAATTCTGCTTTATTCCTTTGGTGTTTGAACATATTTGCTTGCAATTACTTAGTTAGAGAATGTGTGCAACACTAAATTGATTGTGGTTTTATGTAAAGCACTCAGCATGTAGCGTCTGTTAGTAAGTTTGTAATGAGTGTTCATTTCTATACCTTCTCCCTTTATTGCAAAACTGATATATAATGCTGTTTATGTTGACTGGAAATTCCATTCTTACACATTTTACCAGATTTTTTTGTATGCACATTCTGGCCAAAGAATATATGGGTTACTCTTGATAGTTTTATCTGTCACTGGTTAGTTTTTAATGACTGTGAACATAGTGTATTTGAATATGGGACATATACAGTTACTAACCTGACACCTTAAATATGAGAGCACACTGTAGATGACCTGCAAGCTGTGTTCATTCAGTTGATATTTTGGACCTTAGAAGTATATGTTTGTTGGGTTTATTTTATTTATTTTTTGATTTCTGTGTATGTGTGCATTTCTGTGAGAAAATGCCACTCATGTGCGGGTGCCTGGGAAAGCCAGAATAGGTCATCAGCTCACCGGGAGTGAAGTTATAGGGAAACTGACTGACGTGGTTGCCGGGAACCTAACTTGAATCGTTGGCAAGACACCGTGTATTCTTAACCACTGAGCCTCACTTCAGCTCCTGCTCTATTTATTTATTTTTTATTTGCTGAGGGTTAGTGTACATTCTTTGCAAATATAGGAAGAGTTATCACAAGAGGACAGTGAGTTTCAGTGCTCAGAAATGTATTAAGGATGCATATCGATGTTTTACACATAAAACTAAAAAATGATTAAAGTATTTGAAGCCTTTCTGAAGCTAAACTGCGAATTTTTAGGATCTTCTTTGATTTATAACAGTTAAAAGTGAGATTTGATATGAGTATTTCTCACCCTTTACCTAAAGGCTCCTTAACACTGATAGCTCAGACTAGTACCTGTAGTGATTGAAGGCAGCCCAGCTTGGCATAGCATTGGCACCTATGATTGTCCTAAAGCCAGGTGACAGCCACTTAAGCATATCAGGAAGCATATCATGAATTCATCACCCAGGTAAGAAATCAGTTCTTAAAAATTAATTTTAGTTTTGATGGTAATGTTTTGATTAACATCTACTTAAGTTCTTGCTCTAAGTGATTTTTACCCATGTTAGCATTCTTCAGGAACAGATGTGAACAGGATCTCTGGAGGGTCATGAGGAGGCAGGCTGCTAGGGATGACTGTCTCACTGACATATGCCATCCAGCCTTAAGCATGCTGTGTTTGCAAACTGTTATGCATACTGTATGTAAAACTGGAATATTAACTATGAAGAGTAAATTGATTAGCACCACTGAAGAACATCTAAACCAGGAGTGTTGCTGTGTGAAAATACTAAGGGGCCCTCTTCACTATTTTCTTTCCCAAACTCTTCATTGTTTCAGTTTCTAGTGAATCATTATTTGGAAAAATAATACAAAATGAACTGGGAAGCAGATGTACTAGAATTAATAGGGAGTGCAGTATGGGAAAGAGGACATTTTAATCGGGCACACCGCTAGCACTAAACTACAAGTAGACAAAATGATAATGTACATGTGCATTTAATTTTTTGTGGTTGAAGGCTTTTTTTAAGATCACAGTCATAAGAAACTGCTAACTATTACAGCCGAGAAATAGTTTAAATGATTGTACAAGTGATTGGGATTACATAGTCTGGTCCCTCAACTTATTTTCTTGGCTTAATTGCCTGCAGCTTTAAAATAGGGACCTAATTTTTGTATGTTGCTTGCTTTCTTCATTTACTAAACTTTATCAGAAGGTAGACTGTTTTAAGTGTGCTTTTTACCTTTTGAATCGCTGTCATAATTATGACACAGGATAGAACAGAAGAACAGGAGCACATTACTCTGAAATGTGAGATTTGTGTTAAATTCAGCATAGGGCAGTTTTATGCTTGGCAAACACATAAAAAGCTGGGTTTTACAGTTGAGTGACTCATTTTAAAGATCTACTGATGGCTCATGGAAAGCTTTGTGAAATAGTTAGAGTTCAGTTGATAATACCTTTTTTGTACTCACATCCATGTTTCTTATTAATACAGAGTTTTACTTAAAAACATGTTCATTGCTTCTTAAAGGTGAAGTCTGGCTTAATTCAAAATTGGACTAAGCTCAAAGATATTCTTTGGAATGTGCCAAATCCACCCAACTAAAAGATTTTGAGGCATCTTATTGCATTTTCGTTAAACCTTTTAACGAAAAGTTAAAACTTTTAAAGTTTCCTGTGAAGTGTGTGGGTCTTCTTAGCTTGTCAGAGATGACCCAGAACGGCCTATTGGACAGGATCAAGTTCTGACTGGCCTTCCACTGGCTTATTGAGCTGCCAACATTGTTTATCAGTTGTGACATATGCATGCTGCATTAAACCCAGTGCATTCTGAAGCCAGCAGGCCACACCATCCTGGTGCATCCGTTTTGGATAGACTGCCAGCCTCTCATGCGCTGTGCACTGTACTTAGCACCTCTGCTTTTCTCTTTCTTTTTCATAGTCTTTCTGTTTTCTGTTTTTGTTTTTAATGTAAAGTTTTACTATTTAGAAGTACAGCACTTTGCATTTCCTTTCTAGCTTCATTACTTTTTCTTTCCTTACTGAAGTCTGACTAAGACTTCTAGTACTATTTTTTTAAGTTTATTGTTTGACATTTCATATATGATGTATTAATGCATTTTGATCAAATTGCCCCTCCCTTCCTTCGAATTACTTCCCTATTCCCATGTCATAGTTTGATTTTCTTTGCTATGATAAAAACACTCACAAAAGCCCACTTGGGGAAGAAAGGGTTTATTTAACATACAGATTATAATCCATCATTGAAGGAAGCCAGGACAGAACAGAACCCGTAGGAACAGAAGCAGAAATAGTGGAGAAACACAGCTTACTGGGTAGCTTTCCTGTGTCTGCCCAGTTTCCTTATGGAATCCAGAACCACCTGCCCACAGCACAGTTATAATCAGATCAAAGCAAAACCAAAATTTGACAAGGTAAAAAGCCCAGTATTCAAAGACTGATAACCATTCATGGTCTTCTAGGCTCCAGAGGGCTTGGGGAGCTCCACCTCTCCAATTCTGGCACACAAAGCTTATCTCATAGGCTCAAATTAGCTCTATACTGTAGCTACTGCTGTTTCCTTCCACAGTCCTGGCGTCTCCATCATTCTGGGATCTCCACAGCAACTGAGGCTGGTTCTCCATCCATGTCTTTTGGGCCTACACAGTGCCAAGTCTCAGCTGTTCTTCATGGCCCCTTTGTGCTTTAAACCCAGTACCACCTGTGAGACTCTTACACATTACCAAGTTCTGCTTCCAATTTGAGATGCACCCTTGGTCCTTTGCTGGACCACAGCTTGTGTGTCCTGTCGTCCCTAAGGAAATAATTGACAGAGATTTTGCCTTAATAATGTTGGTTTCTTGTTAATCACAGCTGATTCTTCAGCCCCAGTCAACCCAAAACCACAGATTCTTAAATCAGATATAATATGTGAGTGGCCCTGATTGATGAG